TTTAGATCTTGCTGCTAAGCCGCCCAAATTTCCTGTAATCTTTAGAGGTGGTTTTGGTTGACAGTTCTTCAAGCTTTCCTAGAGTCTGTCAGTTTTCAACTTCTGTTACTGCTCTTAAAGATATAGTGAAGGAATTTAGGGAATTTTTTTGAAAGACCTGCCCTCTCCACTGTAGAAAAAAATGCACATGCAGAACCTTGTACCCGCTCCCGAGAGGGACCGCCTATTAAATGTGCGTGAGAGCATGCACTAGCCCAAATCTCCTTGTAATCTCTCTGTTTGAAAGTTGCTGTTTTTATCGCTCATACAAGCTTACTTTCCAAAAGAAGATTTACAATTTTTCCACTATGTCAGACTCACTAACTGTAAGTGAAAATGGGGACGAACTCGTAGGAAGGTCAGCCTTACTTAAACATATCACCAGAATTACTGACAATTAGAAGGACCACTTATTTTGATGATCCACCCGGGAAAAGAACATCCTCCACTATACCTTTGAACCCTGTGTAGAGAGAATTCCCCATTTTATTCTAAATATATTATAAATGTCATCAATATTTTTTCTACATAATTAAAAAGTCTCCCAACCTTTTATGATGGCACTAGAATAAAATTTCAGTTTCAATATTTCTGTTTCAGGATTTTTTAGGTGCTTATAAAAGCGCGGCCTCATGTGGTCATGTGGCCTCCTTCAACACAGGCCCCACCCCCTTTTGGTCGAGCAGTATAAAACCGAACAGCAAGGCTGCTTCTGCAATGTTGCCAACTGAGTGACTTTGTTACTACATTGAGCTCCTTTATTCAACCCCTTTAGAAACTTAAAAAAAAAAATGACTAGCAGCAAATCTAACACATTTTTTTCTGTCGAGACTTTGGTGTGAACACATAGAGAACTGATCAGTCTGAGTTAACTGTCTTATGCAAACAGACAACAAGCCCCCAGCTCCTCCAAAATACAGGGACTAAGATGCAGCAGCTGCAGCCTGTGTTTGCAGTCAGTGAGCAGAGTGACTTTCCTTTTCCCCATTCAACATGTCGCACATACTGTATGCACTCAGCTTCCACTGATCCCCCTGAATTAAAATCAGAATGCAAATATAATATTTAGTGTATTTTTCCCTTTCAAACTGTTCCATTCAAAAGGAATAGGATGTGGTCGCGTTTTTTCTAGTAGACACCCCTCAGCATCTCAGAGCAGAGACGCTGGGGGAGTGATATTTTTTCATTACTTTTTTAGACCTAATTTTATATGCTTAATTATGTTTTAAATCATTTAAAATTGGATGAGTGATTATTAAAACATACAGTATGTCTGCGGTCTGAAAAATTTTAAAAAGATTTAAAAAAACTATATTTTTACTCTTAAGTTACAATTAACGGCCCAGTCTTGCTGTGCTGTGCATAAATAACAGAACAAGTAGAACTTGTATCCAGTTGGAACTTATTAAAGCTTAACAAGCAACTGAATAAATAGGTTTCTACCCCCACTGGGTGATTTCTAGTGAGCTCTTATCTGAAAACCTTCTGATGAGAAGAAGTATGATGCATCTGTTGCTGTGCTAATGACTCAACTTTTATCAGTCTCAGATGCTGAAACAGCTGGCCTTCTATCCTGATGTTCTGGGGCTAATGCTGAACTCCTACACCTCCATCCCGCCCTGTGATTGGTTAGAATCCCTGCCTCCTGACAAGGTGAGCTCTCTGAGGTTTTAAATCCTCTCTCCTCTTGTCGTTTTCGCTCAGGGCTGTTATGTCTCTATTTCTCCTCAAAGTTGCCCCAGGAGGACCTGCTGTTCTTCCTGTCAGTGCGCCAGTGGACGGGTCAGCCTCGATCCCTGCAGCATCTTTGTCGATGTGCTTTACGTCAGCATTTAGGAGCCCAGTGTCACTCAGCTGTCTGTAAGCTGGACATTCCTGCTTCAGTGAGAGATTATCTGCTATTGTGCAACAACAGGACACTGCAGTGAATGTTGATTCTTCACAGTAATTATATACTTTTATGAAGCTTTTCAAAGCCTCAAAATCTTCAAAAATATATATTTTTTTATTTTTAATTTAAACTGTGATATATTGTTTTAAAAGTCTTCACAGCCGATGGAGTTCAGCCTGATATATGTTACCTTTAAAATTACTTTTTCCTGTTATGTCATAAGAAAAAAATGTTCACAAATAAAAATGTGAAAATGTTGCATGCATTGGAATTTAACCCTTTTTTACCATGGAGAAAATCAGACCCTGGAGCAAATCAGAACCACGTCACACAGATGAATCCCACGCATGGAGCTGCAAGCATCTTTCCTCGACTAAAGCAGAAGAAGAGCTGGACTGTTGTGGTCAGAAGACTTCTTGTTAGATCAAATGTAATAATTCATTCTGTTTGGAAATCAAAGTCCCAAGTAGAGAATCCCAGAATACTCATTGCTTGAAGTCTAGTATGAAATTCCCTCTGTCAGTGATGATCAATGGCACTATGTCATCTCCAGGTGATGGTCCACTGTCTTCTCTATCTACCAAGATTTTAAAATAACTTCATCCCATCTGTTTAACTTTACAGAGATGCAAATTTTCCAGTAGGATCTGGTACCTGACAGCCCTGCTGAACCTGGTTCATTAAACATGGTGTTACTGGTGTTAGTAATGACCCTTAACATGGAGATCATGGAGGATCTATTCCCCATCATAGAAAGCTGAGCTTCATGAACAGGTCAGCAGAGCCACAGCTTGAGCCACAGAAAAGAAGACCCCTCTGATTATTAAATGCATATAAAAAGCCTTTACATTACCTTTTTTTTTTTTATTGATCTTAAAGTAATTCCCTGGAATAGAAATTTTGAGTCTTCATTATCTCCATCAATTCTCATCTAAATTCCATGGAACAGGACTTGAAATATTTAATTATTTTCTCAATGTACCTACAGCAATGGAGTATAAAGTTGTATGAGTGCTCAAATATATTTATCTTTAGTTGCGGTATTCTATTTTTCATATGTGGACCAACCTGTACATTCTTCTGTTTCCCTGCTTTGCATTTACTGGCTGATGTTATGATTCATCCTGAGAGATACCTGAACCTTTGTAGCAGCACTACCACTCTTGGTTTCTTGGGATAAATGATTTTCACCTTGATATTCATTAATAGACTGGAACAACATCAGCACCACTGTTGAGGAAACCTCAACCTATCCACATATTGATCCATCTTATATTCACTCCTGAACAAGATCTCACAGTGCTGAAAACTTCATGTGTATAAATGATATTCATAAAATGCAGTAGAACACTGAATTTTTAAAGGATTTGAAAATTCGCAATCTAATGCAAATGTGATGATTACAAGTGTGATACAGAGTCTGGATTTGTGACTTGATTAGAGTTTCAACAGTTCAACAGCCTTATTGGCAGTGGGGAAAAAGCTGTTGCCAAACCTTCAGCTTATAGAGAGGAAAAGGCAATTAATGTAAGTGATCCAGAGTCTTCCTCAGGGTTTTGATACCACATGCATGTGTATGCAGAAGCCTGTCATTTATAATGTATATATACAGTATATATATATATATATATATATATATAAATATATATATACAGTATATATATATATATATATATATATATATATATATATATATATATATATATATATATATATATATATATATATATATATATATATATATATATATATATATATATATATATATATATATATATATATATACATATTTATAGTGGATAGGACAGGAATGCACATCAAAATTAAAAAGCAGATATTACATCTTTCCATAACATGTTGTTCTTTACGTGACCCAAGGGAGTTTTTTGGTTTTACAAAAAGAGTAAGTTGAGTATGCAGTAAAGAGTCAAGGAAAATATTTAACATTTAAATCATACAATGAGAAATCTACCTTGAAAAGTGTTTTCTAATTGTAGATTTTACTTTGAATTAATATAGAGGAATTTGAAATTGTATTTATCTGTAATTATTGTATTTATATAAACCTGTAATTTAAAAATGTATTTTCAAATCCTATTTTATATGTATATTTAGTTATGCTGCTATAGGTTTAGGCTATTGGAGGACATATGGACCACTTCTCTTAATTCTGCTTTTTTTCCAATCCCGCAGTATTTGTTAGTTCAACTATTTCTGTGCTCTCTCTGCTTTTTCTCATAGTAGATTAATCTGGTCTGTTCCTGTTAGGCTGTGGGACCATCCTGGAGAGAAATATCAGCTGTGGTCCTGCCATCAACACCTTAGATTATAGATGATAGATTTGGGCCTGTTTTTCAGTGCTTATTGCTGTTTCTCTCCCAACATAGCTATGGGCTTAGCTTTTACTAAATGTGTGTGCTTCCTTTTATCCTTTGCCATGAAAACTGTCTCAGACCTTGTCTGCTAAACTGCTTCTTTCCCATACAGAGCCCCCTATGGAACTAGTTTACTTTTACCTTTTCCAACATAAAAAGTATTTATAGATCAGAGCTTCTATGTTTGTTTTCTATGTCAGCTTGTGTCTTCTATGTCATTCATACTGAGTTCTTCTGCTATGATCTCAGCCCCGACAGCTTCTCTGATTACTCGCTTCATTCACCTGCTGTACCCTCCCCGCTCTCTATTATCATTTCACCTGCTTCCTCTCCTATATATATATATATATATATATATATATATATATATATATATATATATATATATATATATATATATATATATATATAAGGTTGAGCCCAGCTATCAGGGTTTATTTGTGTCAGTTATTCATGTTTTTTTCATGAGTTTTAGTTAAGTTTCTGGTTCATGTCCTGACTCTGGAAGGCCAGTGGATTGAGAGAGTTTAACGTTTGTCTGCTGGTCGTGTCCTGGCTCTTCAATGAGCCCTAAGGTTTTGGCTCGGCGTGCAGGGGAGTTCCATTTTAATTCCTGTAAGCTTGGCTCCAAGGTGTAGACCAGCTTAAAGTTCTGCATTTATCCTGGAACCACATCTTGTTTATGTGTATCTATACCACTGAGTCCGCCTGACTTTATCTGTGTGTCTGTCTGGGCATGCCTCTGGACCCGTCTGAACCTGCCTTCATGCTCTGAGGATTCCTGGAAGCCTGGATCCCCCAGACTGGGATCGGCTTCCTGCATGTTCGCCGGGGCTGCAGCACCTGGGAGACTCTGAGCGGCGCACGCCGCGTCTTGTTGGCAGCCCATCGGCTGGATCGCACCTCTTTAAAGGAAGATGGACTGAACTGTTAAACCAGGTAAGTGACTCACACTGATAATCATCTCCTGTAGATGATTGTGGTCACTTACCTGTGTTTCTCTCACATCCAGAATGCCAGTGATGGGTGGCGCCTCGCCCCCCTGCAGCTGCTGCGGTCCGACTATCCTCAACAGCCTGCATTTCTGTTATGTTATTTTCTGTCATTAAATGTTTTGAAACAGTTTTTATAACATCAACTTGAGGTTTCTCTCCGTGAAAAGGGAGTTTTTATTCTCTACTGTTGCTGCATGGATGCTCTGTGAGAGGGATTGCTGTCAAGTTGATGAGTTGACCCAATCAGCAAGTGGTTCCGTTAAAACCTTGAACCAATCTGATCTTATTGAATTGTCTGTATTGAGCCTGTAGATTACATGTGGTGTGAATTCCCACCATATAAATCAACTGAATCGAATTGAATATTTAGAAACCATAAATCTAATTATAAATGCCTTTCCTAACCACTCATTTAAAAATGTAATTCCTTATTCCATTTCTGTTTTCACCTTGCAATTTCAATTTCCATTTTGCCATTGGATCTTTTTATACTACCCTCTACATTTAACCTTTTTTGTGACCCATCTGGTCCCTGAGCACAGAAAATCAGTTAAACCAATGAGTTACTCCCCAGATTTAGCTAGCCAGCTTTCCCATTGGTCATTTTGTGAAGTATGTGATGCTGTATAATCAGAAAACAATTTTCAAGCTGGATTTCTAATTTTATTTAAATGTTAAAGTTGAAATATTTTTCTTTTTCGGTGACTCTCCTGGTCCACCATAGACTGAGACACTGGATTTCATTTTAGAGACACTTAGGTTGATGTTTACAGAACTTTTCCATCTTGCTCTCCTGTAATGTCGTAAATCAAACGGTAGGAGGAGCAGGAGGCGTGTCCTGTTTCTATAACAACCGCTCCCACCTCCGACTGGTGACGTAACTGAGCTTGCACTGTGTTTATTCTGGGGTTTTTGAGCCGAAGCTGCTAACTAGAACCGAGCCTGGTGTTTTAAACATGCGTTGATTTTACAGTTGGCAGGTAAGAACAGCCGGGATACCGTTTATAAAGGACTTTTAAATGTTTGCTCGAAGCCTGCGCTCAATGTGAACTCTGTTGCGACAGAAGACAGCTAGCTCTGCGGCTCGTAAACAGCGGAAGGTCGTTTTCCATCAAGCTAGAAAGGCTAGCTGGTAAGCTAAGCAGCTAATGAGAGCAGAATGACAGTCTGACAAATAAACAGAATACATTTCTTAGTTTTTAAAGCTTTAGAACAAATGCTTAGTGTTAATACGACATAAATAACGCGAGAAACAACGTTGGCAGTCACTTAATGTTGCCTATTTTGCTGCTGGGCTTTTTAAACGGAACTAATCACGTCCTTACTGACTTTTTAATCTGCAAAGTGATCCTAAAATAAATAACATCTACCAGAAAATATCTTGATCGGAACCGTGTGTCTGTGCTTTGAGGTAATCATGGAGTATACCTAAGCTTTAAAGAATGTCAGCAGTGAAGCTGGTTTTTCCGGTTTCTTTCGTCACTTAAACGCATCACAGTTTCTGTATTTTCCTAAGACAAGCATATTCTCTTTCAAATTTTTTTTTACATTTATATTAGCTCATTATCCACTTCATACATTTAATTTTAGCTTGATAATAGTTCAGAATTTAAATATCTCATGCCTTTTTAATAATTAGTATGCATAATAACCATTGCAATAGACTCTTTGCACAAAAAGTACTGGAAAACCTGTACATCTATAAGCATTGGCTCGGGAGTAACTTACATTAGTGTTAATATATAGGTATAAATAGGAATTTGTTTTGCTTATTAGAGTTTTTAAAGCCAGTTGTAATAGCAGTCCTTTTTATTGATTTCCGTGAGTAAATCACTTCAGTATTTGGAGAAATGTGTGCAGCATTACACAAATTATGTGATCTCAAATAAGGCATTTAATTCTTATCCTAATTTTGGGCTATTTTATTTCTGTTATTATAGTATTATAACACTCTTTATATATACTTTTTATGTATCATTTAATTAAACAGACTAGTAGACATCTAAAATAAACACTTCCAAATAGAATATTTTTGTTTTCTAGAGTAACACTGGCATAAAGCCTCATTATCTGGTTAAGTAATCAGGTTGCTTTGACAGAGCTACTAAACCTTACTTTGATATGACTAAAGGACTAATGCCTGATTGCTCTTTCATTTAGTTTGAAAGCCAAGATGAACAGAAGTTTCATCTTAGGCATTTTTTACCATGTGGCTTAAAGATCTCACCACAGATCTTAAAGCAAGCAGTGAAATAGAAGGTCTGGAAGTGAAACTAAAATAAATGGTCCCCATTACAGTGAGAAATCATCGAATAACCCCAATCAAAACTTATGGCATTAAAATATTTATTAGAATGTCACAGGTGTCTTGATTTTAGTTTTACTGTCATTTCATTTTTATTTATTGTATATAAAGCAGAAAACCGACATAAGGTTATAATTTGTGTGGTGAATCTCCCCTAACCATCCCCTCAAACAATCTCGTCTCCCACAGGCTTAAAGGACAGAGATGGCGGTGTGTGCACTGACCATGTTGGAGGGGATGGAAAACGAAGTGGTGGCCGCAGGCGGCGCACTGCTTCTGGCCCTGGCCCTCATCATGGCCTGGCTTTCAACCCATGTGGCAGATCGGGGAGACCACATACTGGGCACCATCCTCACTGTGGGCGCCCATGCCTCTTTGATAGGCCTGGGAGCCCATGATAACTATAGTGGAGGGCCTAATGGTGCTGACGCTCCTGAGCAGCAGGCTGCTCAACCTTCACAGGAGAACAAGCCGGATGATGGTGAGCCTTCAAATGACAGAGGAGAGGGTGACGGGGAGGGAACCGAGGACATCTGGACTGACCTGCGGCTGGACATACAGAGCAAACAACCTCAGGTGGGGATGTTGCATTCTTCTGATGGCGAGGAGGATGAGGAGAATGAGGATGAAGAAGATGAGCTGAGAATGGCAGAACAGCAGCCTTTGAAGGCTGTTGAGAGTTTGAGCACCATGGTCCACTGTGCTTCCACTTCCATCTCCGTCCGGCTAAAGTTTTTGAATGACACAGAGGAGGTCGCTGTTGTAGAGCCAGAAGATACAGTGGGAATACTGACAAGGTTTGTAGATCAAAAATATTTAAAAACCTTAAGCTTAGAAAGCAAAGAGGCTGGTAAACATTTAGCTTGGGAATTCTCCCAAAGCTAAAAAACAAAAAGCCACTCTTCAGGTTTTGCATCATCGTTTAAAGCTGACAACACAAATATCTCAAAACTAAACCAGGTTTCTGTAGCAGGCCTACAGGCAGAAACAAATGTTAAAATGGTTTTACCTTGTTTAGTTAAGATCCTTTTAGTTGGGTACAAAAAGCTCATTCTGGATGGTATTACCTCTACTGTGACCAAATCACAACATTTAAGCATATCTAAAGCAGAATTAATCCTTTAACGCATCTTTTATCTAATTTCTCTCCCTTTTTCAGCAAATGTTTTTCAGGACGAGAGCATCAGGTTAAGTTGATCTACCGAGGCCAGCTTCTGCAGGATCCTAAGAAAACGCTTTTTTCTTTAAACATCACAAACAACAGCGTGATCCACTGCCACATCTCCCAGGCCATGCAGGGACCCAACCCAGAGGAAGGGGCTCAACCTGGAGCAGGAACTGGAGTTGGACCGGGGGGTCCTGGAGGATTCAGGGCTGCCAGCGTGGCCATAAACACCAGTAGCCTGGTGGTGCCTGTGTTTGTGGTGATCCTGGCTGTTGTCTGGTACTTCCGCATCAACTACAGGCAGTTCTTCACCGCCCCTGCGACCATCTCCCTGGTTGGAGTCACTGTGTTTTTTAGCTTTCTGATATTTGGAATGCACAGCCGCTGAGGAGACAGAGACATGGCTCAGCGATGCAGATCGATATAAAGAAAAACAAAACTGCAGTAGTCAGATGGTAACCAGAAGAGATGGACTCATTAAATAAAAAAAACAAAGTGGCTCAATGCCATTGCTGCAGCTGCTTATTGCGTGTGTCTAAGCACATCCAGAGAAAAGGTGAATACGGTTCAAGCTCAGATCAAGAGAATTTAGCACCTAAGTGGTCACAATCACCTTAAAACACTTTAGCTTTATCCTGTTTTTGTTTGATACTGGAAGATTTATGGATCTATCTTGTCTTACTCCTATAAATTGTTTTAGGAAAAAGTAAAGTTGACTTATGTTGATAGAATGTAAAAGGCTTTCTGTGGATGAACACAATCTGTACAACTTTCAAGACATTTTTTGTTGCTTCATATCAACACCTTAAAGTTCTGTAAAAACAAAGTCATTGCAAGAGAGGCTGTACATAGGTTGTATTTTCTGTATATAAAATAGAATCCATCTGATGAATCTACATCTGGCACTTACAGAGCGGCAGTGGGACATTCCTCCTGATTAAAACTGGACCTGTCTTGTTTCAGCTTTATCTAGAATAAAAAAAATAATTCCAGCCAAGTCGGTTTCATTCGACTGTTGCTGCAATAAACATTTATTCACAAACACATCATGGCATTAAAGAAAAGCCTTACATTTCAACACATGCTCTCCTTTGTGCTTGTTAGAGGTCAGTCAATGTTGCATTTTCAGTCAATGCAAAACAGCTGTTATCTTTATTCACATAATTACTTTGTTACAACATAATGTTGACAGTGCACATAATGAGCTGTAACTGGTTTGGGTTTATGAAGGGAAAAATCAATGTTACAGCAAAATGTGTGCAAAACAAGTTAAGCTTTTCCCTGAAAACGTAATGAGGCATCCGCTGATTGGCATCTGCACCATATCCACTTCTGATCAAGCTTACAGGCACTCTTAAGGACACATTTTAGGCCTTTAATGATGCAAGTGAAACAAATTTTAGGTAATTAAAATTTACATTTCTTCATAAAACTTGTCACAATTAATTTTTTATATGAACATTTTAAAGAAAAGTTGACAATTTTTCAACAAGTGGTATGGGTGTGTCTCAAAGTGTTGAGTATAATCTAATGGGAGGAAATCTTTAAAGCATAATGTTACCAAAAACTTCTCACGAAAGGCTACCAGGAAGCTTTTAGAACACTCTGGTAAAAGCCCCTGACCTAATCCGCTTCCATATGAGTGGTTAACGCTTAAAGGTTGCGTCTGTGCTTTAGAAACAACCAGTTTACATGAACTATACCCATTTAGATACATAAAGAATGGGTAAATATCCAAAGTTAAACCTTGTATAATCAGTCCATTCAAAGAAAGTGCAGAATTAATAACCCAAGTACGCATAATAATCATATCTAATTGGAATTGCTATATATGAAGCTCATAAAAACATTAAAAACCAGCTCCACAATAATTGAGTTTTTGGTCCAACTGTCAGTAAAAAACAAAAAGTCAAATGCCTCACCTCTTCTAGTTGATTTAAAGCTTTTTTTTCTCCATTAAACTGTAGCAAGATTACTTCTAAGGATGTACAGTAACAAAATGAAGACCCGTCACTCTTACTGCAGCATTGATATTTATCACTTGTAAGCAGAAAGTGCCCTCCGAAAATAAAAGCATACAAAATACACTGGATTAAGAGTTCATTTAAGCTACTTTATCTTATTTACATGTGCCATCAAAGCCCAACGGCCCCAAATCTCCACAATCACACAAATGATAAAGAAACCCTAGTATACAGGATTCACAAGTTAAACTCACATAATGTAAACAAAGGTAAATATTTAAAATGGCCAAAGTCCTTTCACAAATTATTGATTTCAATGAATTTGCTAAACGAACACACACAGCAAAGTGATATTCACACTGAATGCAAATCAGCCCTCAGACACACAAACACAATTGTGCAACACAATGCCAGCATTAAGCCACAGATGAGTCATGAGCGTTTCCTAACAGCCTGTCTGTTAGGAAACGCTCATGAAAAGAAGGAAGTCACCACAAAACAACAGATGAGAGAGAACTAAAGATGTCGGGAAGCTAAATGAGAGGTTTTCATGCTGTTACACCTGGATTCACCAAAAGCTAAATACGTTTTTTTTATTTTGTTTCTTCACGCCGATTTTTTTTTTTCTTACCAAACCATTTAAATCTGGCAAAGCTGCTGTTTGAAACAATTAAAAAACAACAACATGAAATTAAAGTGGACATATCACTGACCATAAAAATGAAAAAGTCAAAACTTTTCCTGCTTTGATGTGACATTTATCGCCTATTTAATGCATACAACTGATCTCCAACTAAAGGGCTCTGTGGTAAAGGAGCAAAACGAAGCATCACCACAACCGAAGGTAATACATAATGACGGCTGCGTCATGATCTGGCATTAGTTTCTATTAAATTGGGTCTTTGTCAAAAGGTGTCAAAGGATAGAAAGCTGAAAAGGAGTTTCAATTGCCAAACCAAACTAAAAGGTGCTTTAACTAAGTAAATGTTCAAACCGATGGCGTCGGTTCATTGCTGCTTTTCTGGTTTTTACATTTCCCCCTTAGAACTACGGAGCACAATCCTGCGGTGTGCAATCATCTGAATCAGGACAGCAGAGAAGGAAAGTAGCCCCCCCAAGTACCGGGACTCAGAGCCACTGCCTTAAAAGACGTACTTTTCTATTAAATTACATATTTGTCACATTAAAGGTGAAATAAAGCTTTGAAATGTCATAACATACAGTATAGCATTTTTGTCAAAGTGTGTATACTTTAAATATGTGGATACATGTTTGATAACTCCTACATCTCTCTGTAATAGACCATTTCCACTACATAAGACTCGGTTCCCACTTTTATCTTTTAACAGGTTGTACATTGTCATCATTGGATGAAGTCTTTTGTTCTACTTAATTGTGTAAAAATATGAAAATTAATTGTAAAGTTCTGTTCTTGTTTCCCCCGTTCTTAGTAAGGAAATTAAAGAATAAAATCAAAGGATCACAAAACCCCCCTGAGATTAATCCTTCACTCACAAAAAGTCCAACTAATTTTGCAGATCTAAGCTTCTCATACACTAAAGTGGAGTTATGCAATTAAATGCCTCAAGATAATAGAACTGATGCTAGATGAGTGTTTCTGATGAGAAGGAATCCTACTTTTAAAGATGAGTATGTCCTAAACGGCATGAAAAGAGTCCTTAGTTTAATTGATCATAGATGCTTGGAACCAAAGGTGCTGCTGTTTTGGGCTTCTTTTTTTTGGTCGATAAGCTGATATTACTCTGAAAGCTGGAGCTGCCGACTCCAGTCAGATTCACACCTCCTCCTCCGCTGTTCATGCTCAGGGCTGACTTCTTCTTCTTCTTGGGCCTCCTGGAATCCGAATGGTTGGTGCCTGTGAGATAAAGAGGTGTGTATGTTAATTAGACAATCATCCGCATTGTCATAAAAGTGACTAACAGAGCGGACCCTTTCTTACTGGCTTTTGATGAGGCGGAGTCAGAAGGGGAGATGTCGGGGGAGTCCTCCCACTGCATGCGGCTCAGTAGGGCCTGTCCATCAGTAGGAACGTCGAAGCAGTCACCTCCCACGTCAGCATCAGGAAGCGTCATCCTGTTAGAAAAAAAACCAAAGCGCTGAATTTTGGTTCTTTTATTCAGTTTGTTTTAGAATTGATTTAAGAAAAACTATGTTTAATCGTTAAACCAAACAAAACTTTTTCCACATCGTTGGAAACTTAAGGAATATTATAGATGAAATTTTTAATGATAATCAGTCATAACACTGTTCAACGGGAGTTTTAGAAAAAAATATGTAACATTTTAAACAATAGGATTAAAATCGTTTATTAGGCTATACTTTTTTGGATGCTCAAAGGTGTACTTTACGCCTTTGATATTATATTTAAAGTTAGATGGATTAAATTAGGTTTGGCTCTGGTTACATTTGCTCAAAAAGGAAAAGGTTGGCAAAAAACCAACTAAAATAATTAACTAAAGCCTACAGTGTTTTAAAAGTATTTATGCTCTGGTACATTCCTCCTGTATAGCTCAAATTTGTCCAATTCTGATTATATTGATTTTAATATCAAAGACAAGCTCGTTTAGTGTATTTAAATTATGGTTTCATTTACTAAAAGGTAATAAACCAGCCCAAGTCAACCTGGTCATGGTAGAAAATAGACTGCCAATCTTGTTAAAAACAATTGCATTGAATTGATTGAGTGTCATTATTGTTTCCCAGATCCTCTAACTGTAGAATGAGTAAATCCCAAGTAGGAGGAGCTTTATCTAAACACACTGTGGCCTGTCCTGTCTCTCTTTTATCAACAAAGCCGGACCAATTGTTTGTTCTCCCCTGTAGCTGATTGGCTGGCAGGAGTTTAAATGGGATAAGCTCCACCCACCAGGCGAACAAGAGGTCCAGACAAGCATCTGGCTGTTGGTGTCACTCGTAGCCTCACTCCCACTCCTGTGTTGGATTTTCCCATTTTTGGTTGTAGGCTGAATCAGCCAGAATCAGACTGGTTTGTGACCTCTCCCACTCTTTTTAGTCTAGATAGCTATCATTGCCTCCTAAAGTGGCAGAGCCAGTTATTAGGTTGAGTTGGAGAGAATATTTTACCCTTAAGATTAGCTTGGTTTATAAAGCTTTCCCTTAAATACTTAAAACCATCATTTGCACACAGCTTTTTTCTATTTACTCAGGTCTGAAAACTTCAATACAGAGGAAATGGTTTGCATTCATTCAAATGTTCAATCAAATAATGACTTGACCAGCTTCCTAAAACTAAACAGTCAACCCTTTAATGGCAAATATATATATATATATATATATACTTGTAGATAGATGCAAATATTCTAATGGTCAATGTCTCATTTCAACTCAAAACCAAGAAAAGAGCTTCTAAGATAGTCATCAGGTTGCATCTTTAACCCCCCCGACTTATGAGGGACTTAAAGGAATAGTACACCCAAAACATGATTAGCCTTCATTTTCTACTCACCTCCATGCTGAACAACACTCTGGAGTACTTTTTTGATATCTCAAATGCATCTGGAGATCTGGGAGGCTTCTTGCTGTCTGCTGACATTCAAATAATGGAGGTCCATGGCGCCCGAGACAGAAAGGTCCATAAAAGTCCACAAAAACGTGTCAATATTCCTCCATACTGCTCGTCCAATGTAATCCAAGTGTCCTGAGTGGGTAGCATCCAGAATTTACTCGAAACGAAGTAATTTAGAATGTTTTTAGAGCATAAACAGTAGTGTATAGGATTTCCTAATAGCGCCCCCATGCGCGCTCACGATTCTACGGAAGCCGGCAGACCAAACCGGAAGGAAGTGCGCATTCAGCGTCTGGTCTGCCGATAATGCAAGCGTAGAAGAAGAAATGTGCTGTTTACCTGTGCAAAGAAAGAAACAACGAAAGAAAAATGTCTGAGGACTTCAGTGTTGAGGAAGAGCATGAGTTCTTTGCCGAGCTGAATGCGCTGGTTTGGTCTGCCGGCTTCCGTAGAATCGTGAGCGCGCATGGGGGCGCTATTAGGAAATCCTATACACTACTGTTTAGGCTCTAAAACGTTCTAAATGACTTCGTTTCGAGTAAATTCTGGATGCTACCCACTCAGGACACTTGGATTACATTGGACGAGCAGTATGGAGGAATATTGACAAGTTTTTGTGGACTTTTGTGGACCTTTCTGTCTCGGGCGCCATAGACCTCCATTATTTGAATGTCAGCAGACAGCAAGAAGTCTCCCAGATCTCCAGATGCATTTGAGATATCAAAAAAGTACTCCAGAGTGTTGTTCAGCATGGAGGTGAGTAGAAAATGAAGGCTAATCATGTTTTGGGTGTACTATTCCTTTAAGGACTAAAACTCCAACATGTTTCCTTCTGAGCACACTTTGATTTGAGTGAGGAAGGGGGCGGGGCACACTCACGCGGACGGCCCCAGGAGGTACAGCCTGATTGCCCTCCTCTGATCATCTGTGTGCTGTGGACATCGGTGAGACCTGGAGGAACACAAGGTGGCATTACAAAACCCTAACTGACGGGCCACCCAGACCCAGCTCAGATCGATCCATCATCCTGTGTGCTTTTTATTTTTCATTACGCCCACACACCCCCCCCCCCCTTCCCACTAAGAATGAGATCAACCAAGGTTTCCCATGGATTACCTTGTGCACATCTTCTTGGTGTGCTCAGAGATCACCCCACATTGCTGCAGAAACACGTCACTTTCATTAACCATCAACATTTAACAAACACACAGACTCTTGTGGTGCGTTCAGACCGCACGCGGTGGAGGCGGTGATTTTCAAGAGCCCAGCAAGTAGCTCACCGCTCTGCGTTTCAGATTCATATTGTTTATACCCAGGGCCGCATCATCAAATAGGAGGAGCTACAGCTGCGTGAAGCTTAAAGGCACACTATGCAACATTTTTCAGTTAATTAATGTGTTCCATAACGATATGGATGACTAAATGAGTCATTTCAGGTTGAACAAAGGTATTCTCGGCCGCCCTGGTGGTCTGTGGGGGAAATACTGCACTTGCAACTGCAGGAGCACCGACCCGCACCCACACGCTCAGAAGTCTCACGAGAGTCAGTCTTGCTTTACGGCGAGAACTCCTAGACGCCCCCAGTTAAAAGCATTCTCGTTGCTAGCACAGTGGCGATCTTTGTGCAGTTATGCTACGTTCACGCAGCAAAAGCAGCAAAATCGCGTCTGCTGCTTCATTTTTGCTGCTTGTACCAGTTAGTTCTGACGCGTGGCTGAAGCAGCTTTGCTGCTCTGGCTGCAAAAGTGTGTCTGACGCGCGTTGGACGGAGCTTCATCCTTTCTCTGCCTTGCAGCTATATTTGCTGTGATCAGTGGGAATAAAGTAGTTTTAATATGTTTTTAAGTGAGAAAATCCACCTGAAAACGTAATCAGTGCAGTCAGTTCATTCAGATTATTATCCTGCCTTCAATATTTTTTCTGTCGGAGCCGCTCAGACCCCCACATACCAGGTATGCGCCGACAGCAGGGATCCCGTCATCAGCAGCCTCTGGCCGGGTTGCCTCCTCGCAGTTCACCGCGGCAGCTGGTAGGTGTTTTTCATCTAAATAATCCAAACTGCATATTCTGCCGGCAGATTTCTGCATTTTCAGTTAATTTAGGCGTCAATAAACAGCGCTGTGTCTCTCTCCCTGCGTCAGATGCTTAAACGCGCTGCTTCAGCTGCTCAGACGTGCTGCGCCTGCATCTCAAAACGCGCCGCGGGACCTTTTGCTGCGCCTTGACGCGCATCAACCATTGACTTTGCATGTAAACTCGCTGCTTCTGTCGCGCCAGCTACGTCCAGTGTGAACGCAGCATTAGTCATTCGCTGCTAAGCTCTGGCTTGACGGAGAAACCAGGAGAACAGCTGTGCATATTTACGACAGTGCACTTTTACTTTCGCCCTCTGGGGGGAGCCTCGCTGGAAAATCAACACCGGTTGCATAGTGTACCTTTAAAAATGAAAAAATAAGAAATAAATGAAAGAATGATCAAATGTGCTGCTGTTGTTTCAATGACTTTTAATTACAATCGACGACGTCACCATCCCAGCAGATGTTAGTGCTGCACTCATTCCCTGATATAAATATATTGCATAACTTCATTCCTGTGATGGCATTGAAAATAACACTGGGCATGTTTACCATATTTAGTGGCTGGAATAATTTTTTAATATTTAATAAATCATCAGCCTTCCAGACTTTTAATTTTGGACCTGCCCTTGCCCTTCCATGTCATTTCCTGTCAAGGTTTTGCTGTCTGTCAGCATTTCACAATAAAAGCACAGGTGTAAGTCCTAAAAGCCCCTAAAAGTTTATCCAGACGCAGCTGTTTCGGTCAAATTCAGAGGGACTATCTTGTAAATCTAGTCCTGAAGAAAGCACCGATGCTGGGTAGTGCGCAGTGACAGACCGGGCTCTGTACTGGAGGTTAAGTGAGGACGATTAACAGTCCTTCTAGGACTAAATTAAAGTGGCTTTTTTAAAGCCACGTAAAGACCTCTTGAGCGCATACCTTGTCTCTACCTTCGTTAATATTGTATATATCTGAATTCCATTTTAAGTGAAAACAGCTTAGCTATTTCATAGAAATGTTGAGCTCGTTTAGACTTCAGCGATCATTTCTTTCAATGTGGTGCTGCTGTTTGACACCTCAGCTCTATTTAGTAGCATGAGGTGAGAGCGGAGCAGTGAATGCTCTCACTCCGTGGAGTTCACTGCTCTCTGCCTCCTCACAAGGTATGTTTGGGAATTTTGTAAATCCACCGCGTTTTCCACACCCACCGCCTCCGTTGTGAACGCACCACTCAAATAAATGCATGATTTTATGAGGGTTGCTCACGGTTGTCAACAGCAATCTGACTTCATTTGGGCCCAAGCTTTCATAACTGACGCCAGCGTTGTAGTTGTACTGCTGTGAAAGATAAAACAGTAATCAGCACTAAAAATCAAACACTTTGGTAGAAAAAAAGGAATAAAAAATTTAAAAAATGTGTTACCTTGTAGGGATCTGAACTGATGCTGGTCCCAAGCTCACCTGAAAATAAATTATTTCACAATTCATCTACATGTTTAGGTTTTAAAAATGGGTCCCTGTTTTTATTTAAATAAGATGTAGCCTCTGTATCTTTTCCTCTAGGCTAACTGTGTACAAACAAATTAGTGCAATACCAGAAAAAAAGTTTTAAGTATTTAAGTATCGTTAAAATCTAAATTAAATGTTAAATGTGAAATAAGTTGTTTAAGAATCCAAGTTTCCAACCATTACGAACTAGTTTGACTAACCACGTGTCAGCATGATAGAGAAGTTAAACTGCTTATCTTCTAATCTTTTTGTGGTCGACAAGGAATACAAACCTATATTGAGCTCAGCTTCCTGTGACTGAGAAAAAATGTTCATACAGAACATCCTGATAACAGTAAGAGGGGTTAAAGATTACTGTTTCAACCTACCGTTCTTGTGTTTCAGAGATTTGGATCTTCTTGGGGAGTTCTGATTCTGCACAAGGAAAATGTTGTGATTAAAACTCCTCCATGCAAACGAAAAAAATATCCAAGTGCTTTAACTCTGTGTGGAAGCAGTAAAATAAATCTACCTTATCTGATCTTCTCTTCTTAGCTGCAAAAGATGGATTAGAAACATCTTTAGTATGTAAAACACAGCATCGACCGAATTCAAAGTTTTTTTTTTAGGTTCTCACATTTCTTTTCAGCTCCATATGACCAGTCATTGTCGTTAAGGTCATCATTGTCTTCCTGATCGCTCTCAGATTTGCTGATGTTGTTATTGCTAGCAAGCCTTTAAAAACCAGACAAACAAGATAAGTTCAGCGTTTCAAATGAAACTTAAATCAGTTCCACTAACCATAACTGACTGACCTGAGGTTGGCGATGCGACTGCTGTTGCGTCCCATTCCTAGACATTTTTCCAGGTGCGGAGCAAAGCGGGAAGCTGCTATTAACCTTTTGCAGTTGGGACACTCACACTCTTTATTCTTCCACTGATTAAACACCTGACCAAATATGTCCACTCCTGGCTGATCCACAATCTCTGGAGGAGTAAACAGACATAGTGAATGGAAATGGTGAAAGAGAAAGTACTGAAAGGAAAAAAAAGCCCGACAGGCACCGACCAAACTCCTTTATGCTATCTTGGTCCGTTTCATCCAAGAAGAAATAGCCCTGCTTCACAGCACGATGCACCTCGAAACACAGGCCCAAACAGGCATCTTCCACCAGCTCAGAGTAGATGTCCTGTACCAGAGTCTGCAAAGAAAACACATCCCCATGGGCAAACTGGAAAGACAACAGTTAAAAATAAATCAATATCAGCTGTTATCAGTAATCACCTCCAGCCTGGTGTTGTCTGGGCCTGAGAGGGGCTTTTCCTCCATTTTCATTTGAAAATCTGGGATGGACCTCTGGATAGTAAACTGTTAAGATGCTGACCTGGGAACACAGAAGATAAAAATAAAGCCATATGGCAGGGATACTACACCATCTTACACTAATAAATCCATACAGACAAAAAAAAAACCCAGCTGAAGCTTAACTTTAGATACTGCAAGGTTAGAGTAAGGCATTTATCGTATCCTTTATTGTTATAAGTTTCTAGTCATGACACAAACCATAAATTAGAATCAATGTTTAAACATTTTAGAAACTAAGAGAATTATGACATTTTTTTTGCTTTGTTTTATTATTTCATTTATTTCCTCGGTAGAATGAACTACGCCATTACTGAGATTTTTAACAATATAAAATCACATATTTTTTTATGTAACCGATGCCCTAAATAAGACACATTTAAATGTGTTTATTATTTAAGAGCATTATTTGTGATTGTGGGGCTATGATGGCTGTAATAAACAGTCACAGCAGTTACCCAAGACACACTCCAAATCGTCAGTTTTGTTTTTATTAATAACATCACCAAATATTGTGATAAGATCTTAAATCTTTTGCATATAGGCCAGCCTGATACAGGATTTTAATATATTTTAACATAAGGGGGTATAAGGAACCCAGCTTTGCTTTATATTTGTTTTTTGTTTTTTTTGGGCAGATGACATTACTATAGGCTGAGTCAGGCTTATAAACCATGATTAATTATTAGTTAGATGCGACATCAGGATCAACCAGACACAGTCTGGCTCAAATGACCCCCCACTGTCAATAATGATAAATCTGAGGCAAACAAAGTCAATTACAACCCTTCTAACTTGAATTGGTACATATTTTGTTTGACTTTTTTTCCTCGGTTTGGATCCCATGAACCATCAACATTCATACAATCATTAAAATGCGAAAAAACAAACAAAACAAGAACAATTAATCTAACAAAGCTTCCTGGTGAACTGATGGGATGTCAGCCCATGATGTGTGCACTAAAAGCTTGTTTTGACAGATTTTGAAGAGTATATATTGGCTCCCAACAAAACAGCAAACAACTGGCAAAGTAAGAAACTATACAAGTCTGTCCAGAACTTAATGTCCCATCAGCAAGTTAAAATGAAATCAGAATATCTACTTTTGAAGTAGATAATAAATCTGACTGCAGATTAAACCTTGATCGATATTCATATGTCATTTGACAGGCTGATAAACACTGTCATTCATTCATTAAAGCAAAAGGAAACTGGTGGAAATCTATCCCAACATTATCTTATTAAAATCAGCTGCATAAGAAATCCACTGTACAGTAAATGATTTATTAATTCAAACGCTAAAAGATTTAGCAACGAACCACTTACCTGTATTTTCTAGCATATAGCACTTTGGCTTTATTATATTCTAGTCCTATTAGTCTACTACTCTATGATTTAAATATGTGATATAAGGATAATTTGAGTAGCTTCGCAAAGAGTCATAATTTAAACAGAAGCTGTTTCCTTCCTTCTTCATACCAAAAAAAAAAAAAACTCTAACGAAATCCGGCAGTTTACCTGAGGCAGGCAACATCCCCGTTCCGTTCACACAACTAAATAAAATAACTGCTCTTAGGCTGGCGCCATCTTTGGTGTTGCGGGTCGAGCAGTGTCCGTGTTTAAAAGGAAAACTGAGGCAGGTGTCAGCAAGATAAACTAAGACGTTAGAGAACCAGTTTCACCGAAGAGGCCAACAGAAAAAACCCCTCAGAGAAACAGGAAGCGGTATATGGCCCTCACCGATCAACTTCCGGTTTGAACTTTTAGAAATAAGAGTTTCTTATTCATAAAACTGACGGATTTTTATTTTTAAAATTATTTTAAAAATGCTCTGTTTAATTGTTCAGTATTAACCTGTAAATATGCAGCCCTATCCAAATTAAAAGTATTTCATGCAGCTGCATATTCATTTTATTTTTTTAAATAAATTTTTAGAGTTGGTAGGTACCGAAGAGGATTAGGGCCACTGGAAAAAAAAAAGTTAACTGATATTTAAATTTTATTTCAGTTTAATATGGGAAAAAAGTCAGAATTCTGAGAAAATGAAAGAATTCTGAGATTAAAGTCAAAATTCTGACTTTTTTCCCATATTAAACTGAAATACAATTTAAAAATCAATAAACTTTTCTTTTTTTTTGTCAGTGGCCCTAATACTCTTCCGAATGTAGGGAAGCTCCATTTTTTCAGATAAAACAAATTTTAGGATGCACTTTTTGTTTTCTTCTAATTGCATCTGGTAAATTAGGTCCTGCAAGAGTAAAACAAACACAGAGATGATTTTTAAAAGTTAAAACTAATATTTTCTTTATGATCTTGTCTGATTCGTCTCTTAACATAACAGAGTACAAATTGGTGGTATATTAATAATGGAAAGATGTAATTGAAAGGTGTTTGCTAATGTATAATCTAAATTACTGAGACAATAAAGCTGGTACAGTCACAGGTATTGAGAGTATCTGGCTCAGGTTCTGGCAGTTTTGGAAACATCTTGTAGACCTCTGTAACACAGCTGAGACGATAAAATTCTGCACATATTCCAAAGAGAAAATTATAACCAAATATATAGGGGAGGGTTAATCACCTGAAAGGTAACAGAACTTTATCTGGGAAACTGTTCACTATGATTTGATTATAGTAAGATAAACATTTACTGCAACACTGATATGGTTCCTTTAGTCCAGCCTAAAAGATAAATTGATCAGTAAAAAAATTTTTTTCTAAAATAATATATGCTCCACCCAGTCAGTAAGACAATAAGATAATTGTCTTTATTCGCCCAAATACTTGAACTACAAGGACATAAGAACATCCTCCTCTATAGAAAACATCAAATCCTGTCAAATGATCAGCAGTACAAACTTGTAAAGCTTCTGTCTTACAGATCTCTAGAAACCAACATAGGGGAAGAGAGAAAAACAAGTAAAACTGGTGACCTTGAACTAAAAACTCTTCTCCGTGAGCGGAAGACTCACTGGCCCTTGAAGTCAGAGGAGGGTTTGCAAAATCAAAATACTAATTAAACAAAACACACTCAATACAAAAAAAAAAAAAAAAAACAGTATTTACAGAAAAATTACATTTTTTTTTTACTCCAACTCTTCAGGTAACCCATATGCCAGCAACTCCCTTTTGACTCAGTCACTCTTCCTTCCCAGGTATTTAAATGGCCGACGTTGGTTTTTGTTTTACTCAATGGGACAGTCCAAATATTCCATCACATACCAATCAATCAGAATAAAGATGGAAGTTTTGCCATTAATCCATAATTAGGTGAATAATGACACAATGGGGGTGGGGAGCAAGGAAATCCAAAAACTAAACAGCATGTACATTCATGGTGTTGCTATGATGCCCCCAAGCAGGCACGAATATGCACGCTGTATTCACAGCTCTGTTTGCAAGAAAACAGCTAGACATTAAAGCAAAGAGAAACGCACACGTCGTTTTATATACACAGCAATGTGCATGCGTGCACACATCATCAGGAGGAGAACATTTACATTAAGTGCACACTTTCTGGGAGGGGGGCATCAGACAATAACCAAACACATGGCAGCCATTAAGAAAAAAAAAATTAAAAAGAGTTTAAAAGTTGAAACAATTGCGGTCCTCAGCAGAACAATGATGCTCTCAAAAACCTGTAAGTAATACACCAAATTAAGTATCGGTATATTGCCTTGAAAATGCTAGAAATGAACGGCTGCACCGTTAACAAAATTCCTCCTTTTGAGGTTAGGATTAACGGCTGAAAAAACAGCTTCAACCAGAGTGAGACTTTGCTTTTAGTGACAAACTCAAAGCCTCTGATTTTACCAAATATATACAAATGCAAGGAAAGAAAACTTTTTTTTTTTAACCTTGGGATTTAGTTAATCACACAACTGTATATATTCCATCACAAAAAATGGGACAAAGTGTGTAGGAAATGTCAGCAAATTACAATGAGAAAAAAACCATAACCTTTACTTCAGAGTAACAATTTTCAGATGTTTCCCTTTTCCTGTGACTCCTATGGTCCGATGCTTTCGTAAAAACTGACTGTAACAGCGGTAAAATTCCAGTATTTGTTATGCCAAAGCTAAGTGGGTTTACCTGATATTGCATGAGTTTTATTTCTACTGAAGTGGAGGAACAGATTTTTTTAGCCCCCTTAGATTTAGATTTAACATCTTTATTTGCATCAAGTTTTCAGTATTTGCGGAACAGTTTCATGCTGTAAAGCCAATTGAGATTTTCCTATGATGTAAATAATCTCAGATGCTATGTTTTGTTCAAATGTAAATAAAATATTTTTCCCCCAGTATATGACCTCTCCTTTAGATTGTTTTTATTACCTTTCGAGAAACGAAGAGTTTGGCTTTAAATTGCAACCCAATTGTCGAACTAGCCACATTCGCTGTGAAATGATGAAGATACGTTAAATCTACTGAACATCAATGAAGAATGGGGCTAAATTAAGACATTAAAAGCGACCAACAGACATTCAGAATGGCTTAATCGGTTTTTCTCGAGAAATAAGATATATATATATATAAAAAAAAAAAATACCACCCTTTGTAAGAACCAAATCTAAACCACCAACGCCGACTGAAAATACAGGACAAAGCAACAACGGCCTGTGGAACAAAATGAAAGGAGACATTCTAAAGAGTGCAATTTTTTCAGTGCCCTGCACACGCCCCCCCCCCCCCCCCCCCCCCCCTGCCTCCTGAAGTGTGATCTTTGGCTCTGAAGCCTGCTCACAACTTCCTTATCAGAAAAATAAAAAAAAACACTGGAGGGAAACTGATTAACCTGACACATTTACGAATTCACCACAGAGCTTGTAAATGGAAAAACAAAATTAGAGAAAAAACGTCCATGACATCACCAAACCAGTGGGATGCTGTTTTTGGTATAACGTCAGCTGTGGGCAACCGTCACACACAGGAGGGAATCGGACTGATTTCAGGGCCGGGTTTCCTTTTTCAGTACTTTTGCTGTTTTGATTTTTCTTTTAAAGCACAGCAGCAACATGAATTGGTTTTGGGATGGATGAAGCGATGCGGGAGAGGAGGGCGGGGTTGGCACAGTGGCAGAGCTCCCTGGACTCTTGGCTCAGCTCAGCGCTGCTTAGTTCGCCTCTGGAGGGCTTCGGCCGTTTCAGTCCGAGTCCGACTCTGAGGATTCCCCCGAGTTGGACTCGCTGCTGCTTTCGTCATCCGATTTGTTTTCTTTGTCTTCAACCTCGTCATCCTCCTCTTCTTCGTCATCCTCGTCGTTCTTTTAAACACAAATAAATTGTTACTTTCCTGCGTTTTTTTCTTCTTCTTCAAAACGACAATGATCGTCACTCACATCATCATCGTCGTCGTCATCATCGTCGTCGTCATCATCGTCGTCCTCCTCACTGGATGAGTCTGCATCAGAGGAGGCCTTCTCCTGCTCGTCATCATCTTCCTCATCATCGTCTTCCTCCTCAGTGTCCTGTCAGAAAGCAGGTTATCAGAAAGGAGAACAGAAAAACTCCTTAGGTCTTCATTAAACCAACAGGCTCCAGTACTCACAGATTTCTTCAGCTTCGCCTTGGTCGCCCCTGCTTTTGCTGGATTTCTTCTTTTCTGTGAAACAAATAAAAACAATTAAAGGTCTGATCAAAGACAGCGAGGAGCGGCACAAAGAACAAACAGACTGCGCTACGGAAGCAGCTTAAAGACCTACCTGTGAATTGTACTCTCTGTAAATATTTCGCTCTTGCATAGACAAGCTCTGTTGGAGGATCAAAATAAAAAAACAATTACGAAAACAAACTTAGTTTAATTCCTTTATGTGTAATTTTGAACAGCTCCTTACAGCCAGCCACTGCTCCAGGAGGACCTTGTACTGCCTCTGCTTCTCCTCTGCGATCTTCTTGTAACATTCCTTGTCCTTTAGCGGCAACCTCTGCCACCGGCTGCCGATCTCAGCCATCCGCTCCTTCATTGGGAGATGATTCAGCTCCCCGTTGGATAGCATCTCCTGGGAGAACTTCTGGTATCCATTTCTAGCAAAAAAAACAACAGGGTGATTTTTTTTTTTATTAAGATTTTAAAAACACTTATGAAGTTGAAAAGTGTTGTGTCATAAACTTACGATGGAGGCTTCTTGGGTTCCCCTTCAAACTTCATCTTCTTCATAGGAGCAACAACATTAGCAGGGGATCGCATCTCACACAGGTCCCTCTGTCAAAGACAGAAGGTTGAGTTACAGATCAAATCTCACCAATTAACCGTATGATTGTATGTTTAAGGAAAATTGTGCAGCCTTAAGGAATACGGTCTAGGGTTACACCTGGCTGTAAAACATTTCTGTGGGAATGATATTGTATCTTACTTCATATCTTTTCTGGTCTTCTGCAGCCTTCTTGATCCACATAATCTTCTCCTTCTTCTCCATGGTGCTCCACGCCGTTTCCATTGCTTTATGCGCTTTCGGTCGATCATTCTGAAAATAAAAAGAGTCCCTCTAAGTAAGAGCAGAGCCACTAGAATGCTGCATCTGTGAAGCCATGAGTGACACCGACCTTAAATCTAGCAAGGTAGTCCCCGATAACACTCTGTTGCCAGATTTCTTGGGCCGTTTTGGGCGGATCCGGCAGACGACTCCTATCCTCCCTTTCCTTCTTCTCAGACTCAGCTTTCAGAAGAGCCTCCACGCGTTTGTACTTCTCCTGAATCATTAAGACAACAAGACGAGCAGAAAGTGTTACTACAAAGACGTGTCATGACATCAATTAGCGCCTTTTTTATGTAGCAGACGTTTTACCTTCTTCTTGTCTGGAAGCTCGTTCCACATGCGAGCCAGGAATCTGGTGAGCTCGCTGTCAGGAAGGTCCGGTCGCTCCTGCTGCAGCTTGGCTCGTTTCTCCTCAGCAAATATGAACATAGCAGAGATGGGCCTCTTGGGTTTCTCTGGACTTGCCTGAGAACCCAATAAATGGTATGAAATGCGGGAGTCAATAGAGGTAAACGAAAAGCGTGAACAGAGTGCACTTTTGAATAGCAGACTCACGTTTGTTTTAGCATTTTTCTTTTTAGAGGCAGGGCTGCTGGCTGCGTTGTTCTTCTTAAAACCAATCTTATCCTCCCCCAAAACTCGCTGCTGCTCCTTTTCCGGTAAGGTCTGGAACAATAAGATGAAGTCAGAATCACTTTCACCAAAAACGTGCTTATTCAGTGAAAATAAGAAAACTGAAACACATGACGAACTTACACTGAGGAATCTGTTCATCTCGATTTCATACTCCTTTTTCCTCTAGAAGAGAGACACAAAAAGAATGAAATTAAACCTGGGAAAAGACACTGTGGGGGGATGTTTCATCTCTGTGACACCATAACATCCAACTGACCTGTTCGCAGCGTTTCTGATAGGCATCCTTTTCGCTCTGCTTCAGAAGCTTCCACCGCTGGCTGCACATCATCATGCGCTCTGTGCTCGGAACGTCCTTCATGTTCGACATCAGCTCAGCGCAGAACATCGAGTAACCATTTCTGTAAACGTTTGTGCGGATGTTATGAGTAAGTCGCTGGAAGCGGCAGCCCCCTGCATACAGTCTGACTAAACTTACGGAGGGGGTTTGTCAGGCCGGCCGTCCGACTTGTCTTTAAGGTGTCGTTCCGCCTTGGTCAGGGTGGACTTCATAGCTCCCTGGGTCATGTTTAGCTCCGGGTGCTGCTGTATGTATTCCCGCATCGCTTCCTAGAAAAACAAACAGCAAAACTAGATATAAAATGTACCAGAAAGGTCATGCAGATGCTGCATTTCATAATCCAAAACAACCCGCACCTCATACAGTTTTTGCTGCTCCAAGGACTTGCCGATCCATTTGAGCCTCTTTTTGTCAGACAGCTGTGTCCACTGTTTACCAAGACTGTCCTTGATGTCTTTTGTGGTCGCCTGGTTGAGACAAAAAGACGGTCAACATCTCTGGGAGTAGAATGAGCGTCAATTAAAGTGAATTTTGGGAGCTGAGGCTTACATCAGGGTGCGTCTTGAGGAATGCCTTCTTTTCATGGTTGTACCACAGCTGTTGGGGCGTCTTGGGCTTTTCTGGGACATTTGAAGCCTTCTTGGTCATGCTCTCCATGAGGTCTGGATGTTCTTCCCTGTTTGCAAAGGTGATAAAGAAAAAATTAGAGAAGAGTTGTCATTCTAATGGTTGTAAAAGGTGTAAAGCAATCTACACACAGCAAAGAATAAAAAATAAAACACTTTGATAATCACCTGAATTTCATCATGCTTTGTACAAATGCTTCCTTTTCACGCAAGAAGTCCTCAACATATTTTTTCTGCAGGAACAAATAATGTTTTATATTGAAGTGAATTGACACATTTATGGGTGGAAACACAACAGCCTTTTTTTTTTTTATGTATAAAATGTTCCCCCCTGAAGGCTGACCTTCTTTTTGTCAGGGAGCTCCCTGTATTTCTTGGAAAGGATCTTGGTGAGGTCCAAGTTGCTCATTTCAGGATGCAGCTTCGCATATTTGGCCCTCTTTTCCATGAAGAAACGGAAATATGGAGTCAAAGGCTTCTTGGGGAAATCTGGGTGTTTCTGTTTTAGGACCAGGTACACAAAGTTAGTCTGGAGCTTAAATTACAAGGTTAGAGACTCATTTGGGATTACAAATACTGACTGTAACTCACCTTTAACTTCTTGCCTTTGTAGGGGTTCTTGATGTAGTCTTCTGCATCCACGATGAGCTCGGTTAGAGTTCTGAATTTACGAATCTGTTTGACATACAACAGAAATGGATTAGTTCTAGATATGTTTTCCTCTGATAATTGTCTCTGAAACAGGCGTCATTTAAGGTGGCTGACCTCTTTTGAGACTTCTAGCCATTTCTGCTTGCACATCTCTGCTGTGTATGAATTGAAGGCAACCTTCTGCCAGTCCAGGTGGGACTCAGAGGTTTTGTATTTTGTCACATCCTTCTGAGGCAGAGCCACTTTCATGGCATCTAGCAGCTTTAGGAGGTCATCCTGCGCCCACACTATAAGGTCAAAGAAGAAGAACAGAAATGACATGTTTTTATTTTATTAATATATTAAAAACTCAGTTCGTTATATCTTACTATAGATTCCTAAACATTGTTGTGCTGAACTTTACGAAAATAATTTTTTTAACAAACACAAATTCTTTGAAATAATTAGGGCTTCCACAAACATATTGGTGGAATCATCTAGATCAGATTAACCGAGACAGAATGCATACGAGTTGCTTCTTGTATAGATCTGTAAGAAAAGCAAATATTCTTGGATAAAAAAAACAACAACTAGGCATTTAGAAAAATTCTACCTTGGTCCTGGGCCACCACCTCCATCTCTCCATTCATTTGTGGTTAAACTGTCTTGAATCTGCAAAACAAATCAATATTTCAACATCAAAACAACCCACGAGGTTTTGGAATTCCTCTGTACCCAATTTTTTAATGATTTCTCAATCGTTGTTTAGGCCTTCAAGAATGCTCTGAATAATGTGAAAGCCGCTATTTATAGGCTATACAACTAGAAGAAATGGCTTATCCCATCTACCAGTGGTACATATTAGACCAAGGCCACATTTACACTTTTCCAAACAAAGACTATCAAAGGTATCCATCATTTATAGCCTCTTTTAAAAAACTACTCATAAAGGTTCAGAATGATTATACTGCAAATTATGTGTATGAAAAAATTAATGAAAAAAAGCATCAATCGACACTAGATGGATAAATCACAAACCGACGAATAAATTATTGAATAAAAGATCGATGAAAGGTTAATTTTAGGGCTGCATTATTTTGCAAATTGATTAACCTTTTCATTCTTTTTTCGATTAATTGATTAACAATTGGAGAGCCTAAGGTTCCTTAAATTTTTTTTTTACTAAATTAAACAAGGTTTAATTAAAATGTTTCCACTTGAGGGGTTCTGGATTAAACATCTTGACAAAAAAGGTGCTTTTATCTTTTTTGTCTGTTTTGATATTATTACTGATCTAAGTGGGGTGCTCTGTCAGCTAAAGCCATGTTTTCCAGTCTCTATTCTCCAGTTTTATGATTAATAGATTACTAAATTAGTTGATCATTTCAATAATCACTTAATCATGATTAATCCTATTGTTTCAGTGTTAGCTAATTTAAACATAACGTGTATGAAAAACACATTTTTCATCATCTTTTACAAAAAATCCCTTAAACAAATACAAAAAACATGAATGTAGCCTAGATTAAGATTTAATTGAAGCACATTAGGAAATTCCAGTTTTTGGATTATTATCATTATAAAACAAATTCAAAAATGTGTTTGGGAGGCTTTTTTTTCTTTGTGTGGAAATTACCAAATAATCAATGACAATAACGTGTTTTTCCAAGACAATGACAAAAATGAAACCTAGGATAATATTTAATAAGAACACAAAACATATTAAATCGATTATTTAATTTGTTTTTCTGTTTAAAATGTGGATTGTGATTTTTAATGTGTTGGAAATATCGTGTTATTTCATGATGAATGGGAATCTGCTCCGACATGATGGTTTATGTTCATTTCACCGCCCCTAAAACGTTTACGCTACATGCTGAGACATAGGCTATTGCTCGTGACGGCTTCAAATCTCAAATAACACCGCAGAGGGATTCAAACTAGCACAACTAGCAACGACAACAGGAGTCTGAGCAGATCCATTTTTTTTCTCCCCAACCGGAATTTGGCGAATTAGCGCTGTCCTTATTCCGCAACCAAAGTATCCTGGACTCACAGCAGCGACCATTTTCTCTCTCGGTCTGCTCGCTAATGGAGGACGTTTCTGTCGGAGCGGAGGTTTTGGGGAGGATCCACGGAAGGAGGAAGCGAATAGACGTGGACAGACAGGCAGGCAGCTGTAGGCGACCAGCTGACCACGGACTGGGGGGATCTGCTTTCGGTCTCCGAGAGGCAGGAATGGTGGCTTGGAAGCACTGCAGCCAAATGCGCCACTCGGAAGAGGCGCCTCCTAACCGCTGGATGCAGATCTAGCTCCGCCATGAGAGTCCCTTAAAACGTTTCTTTCCCGTTAAGGGTACGGGGAGGTCCACGTATTATCCGTTTTTATGCGATTATGAACAGTTTGGGGCGCATTTTTTTTATTTATTTTTTAATTTAAGCGGTTCATGGCGGATCTTTGGAGTCAAACCGAGAGCATTCTACAGCGAGGCGTAGCCGAGCTGTGCTTCCATGATGGCGGATGCTCGTTGTTCATCGTGTCCTTGATGGCCCCAGCTCAAGCGCGTGACCTAGCTTTTTCAAAACTACCGTCAATAACACGTTTTCTTAACCAGAAACTAAATATATGAAGCACTACCATCGAGTTTAGACAACTTACCCAAAAAAATACAGAATATGGATGTTTTGAAAATGAACTACAGCGGTCCACTCAGCCGAGGACTGCTTACTTCGGTTAAAAACAAGATTAAAAATCATGTTTATGCCGTTTTAAGAAGTTAATGTAATTTAGATTATTTTCTCTTCAAATGATTTAATCAGAAAATCCTTTTTTATACAATCATTTTTTTTAGTATTATTAAAAACAATTATATGAAGATTAGCAAACCTTTTTAACTGAAATGGTCCGTGGAGCCGCAGGAAGAAATGTGAAAACTCTAAATATTGTTCCGCCAAACAGCACGACGTTAACCAAATGTTTTGTTCGAAAATTTTATCTTTTATCAAATGAACTATTAAAAAAATCTGAAATAAAAAAAAAGATTCTAAAAGATGAATCGCTTCTTTAAAGAACCGTGTGAAGATCCGAGTCTGAGCTGCTTCTCTGGCGCGACAAAAACAGCTCCAGGTCCGCCATGCTTCAGCTCTGCTCTGCTTCTGTGAGGAAACCTACCGTGACAAGGTCCAATGGCGCACTGCAAACACTGAAAACGGAGCTTAGAGCTAAAGCCGGGGCGTTGCAGACTCCCTTCCCCTACATCCGAAAAGCGCATAAGCGAAGGGGGAGAAGGCGGGTTCTTCGAGCTCGGTCGTCGCTGGTGCTTCTGGGCTACATTCGGTGAGAGAGTGAGGGGGAGAGGGAGGGCGAGTCACTGTACGGTGAGATATTAAACCGAGATCCCTGATGGCTGACCGAGAGAGGCGGATGGCTGTTCCGCCAACAGCCGCGTGGAGGTCTCGGTGCGGAAAGCACCCCTTCCCCACGTAAAACATCATTGCATCACGATTGCCACGCGTTTCCATCAAACTATTTTGCCTAAAACAGTTGTATTTTCCCTTTTTTTGTTGTTAAAATCATCAAAAAAAAACTTGGGAGTCGTACAGCGAGATTCTTCCCCGCTGTTTCTGGATAAGTAATTCGGGAATGGCCGACCTCCTCTCTACCCTTCCACAACGGTCGGTGTGTTTCACTGCTACAAAGAAACGAAAGCGCGACAGAGCTTTAAATATTAATTAACCCCCTAAACTATACTTTAAACTATTTTATTCAATTTCATCTTCGACGCTTTCTTAACGTCGATATAAAACCGTTGGTGCCTTACCTGTCTCGTGAGCCTCAGCGTCGCTGTGGAGGAAGAAGGGGAGGGTTGAACTACAGCCAGCACTGCGCCGTCGATGCTGGGCTCCAGTCCCCGCAGAGACGGTCCTTCCCCCTCCGCCTCCATCTCACTCGCAGTCTCCCTCCATTCAAAGGAGAGCTGTTCTTCCCCTCTCCATCCAACCATTTCCCCCATTTTTTTTTTTATGCGCCGCTGATTTTTAAAACGCATTATCTGCTCCCCGAGGCAGACCCTGTTTCATCCCGGGGAGAAGTTTTACACCCGCGGATATTTAAGGACGGGACTCCGGTTGTCATGAAACGCATAGTTGGAACTTTGGTTCTGCTATTTAATGAAACCATTACAAGCACATTATGTTCATAAAACAACTTTAAATGAAATTGAATTAGAAATAAATCAGCATTTCTTCATTGTCCTGCGCTCAAGCTGTTTCCACTCGCTCCAAACCTTTTTTTATTCTACGCGGCTGTTTGTTTGACAGCTTCATTTTTGCCCAGTGTGTTTTTTTTTCTTTTCAACTCCACCTTGTGTGTTTGTGGGCGTAAACCCCGGCCGTCCAATCAAGTCAGTCCGATTCAGCGAAAACAAATGACTCTCAGGCACTCGGTCTTGTTAAACTTTGATAGGTTCACTTGCCGTAGGAAAAATAGCAATGCAGAAATAAGCGACTGTTCTATTTTGGAAAAAAAGGATGTTTATATTTCAACTGTTGTGTTCATTGTGATAAAATCGTTATTAAAATATGTGGAGGGGAAAACTACTAACTGTGTTACATGTTATTTAAAAGGCTCCCAGTCTGTACACATTTCCGAAAAGATGGAAACGATCTCAAACTGACTCAACTCTCTAATTTGGATTTATAAATAGATGAACATGTGGCTTGTGCTGAGTAATTTTGAAATTAAATCAATGTTGCCTTTGTGGCTTTGGATAGAGCTTTTTAATGTTCTGATATAGAACATCTGAGAATTGCCTGATGTCCTTGAAGGTAGCATGTATAATTTCGGCTTTACAATAAATTCTCATTTTGATTCAGATAAGTTCACAATTTTCCGCATTTTAAAAAGTGTATGATGTGAAAGTGACAATTTGAAGTTTGTGTGCATTCTGTTTTATTTTGTAATTTATCAAGAACATGTTTTTATATAGCATGTTTGTAAGTAAGCAGGTAGAAACAATATTAAATAGTAACCACATATGCTCACAGATTCTTAGTCCCCACAACAATGTGGGAAAATAAACCTTTTACACTTTTGAAAATGGTTTTCTAAAAAGAGTACGTTTTGTACACTCTTGAAATTTGTAGGCTTATAGGTTAAAAGCTATAACTAATCAGGGGCGGTAGAGTCTTTTCCAGTTGCAGTTATAAAGCCAAAATTTTTAAAGACTGATTTTATTTGTAATAAAATAATCCAAAGCCATGTACAGTTTTTAAGCACACACATTTTATAGCACAAAATGCGTTTCAGATCATATACAACAATGCTTTCCTGATCTTACAACTAAAATGGCTATCTATTTAGCTACTTTTAAAGTAAGTACACTCTAATATCTGAATATGGAAACACACATCTTTCACATATTTCAAACAGGAACAGGAAATAATATGACATAAGTGACACATGAGTAATTAAATGAGGCAAACTTCAGAAATACATGCTTGAGAAAAATACCAGAGGCGGTGGGACAAAAATGCACTGTTGAATGTCTCCCTGAAATTCTTTATTTTTAAATAAGTTAGCTTGAGCAAGTAAAGCCAAACGTTAAATGTGTAATAGAAGGGAGAAGGGGAAAAAATGTCTTGAATCTAAATACTGTTTTCTGTGTAAACCTTTGTTATTGTCAAATAAATCCTGGTTTAGCATCAGAAATGTTGCATGAATGCTGGATTTTAAAAACTAGAAAAAACAACAGTTTATAATTACAATTAATGATTGATTTTTCTTCAAAGTGGTGTTTATGGCAATCCTTCCTCCATGTCTTCCTCGTCAAATTTCACTTTGGCATCATCTGCATCCAGCTGCAAGACAAATCCACCCATTAACACTTCAAAAACAACTTCAATATGATGAGATCATTTACCAAAATGGTTTGAGGAGATATTTTTTTGTTGTTGCTTTTGTCCAGAACTTACGCATTTCATCTCCAAGGGGGTGAAGAGTCGTCCTGTCATGAACATCCGCAGGGGGACGGTGAGAATGAGAAAGAAAGGCAGAGCCAAAGAGAAGGCACTCTGCTTGACAAGCCAAAGGATGGCCAAACACACAAGCTGGATAAATGTAAAGAGATGCATCCGCAGAGTTTTCACCTGCAAAAACAAACAATCAAAATTAGGCTTACGGGACTTCTAAACCAAAATTCAAGTGGATTTTAATAAATCAGGTCAAATGTACAGGTGCTGGTCATAAAATTAGAATATCATGAAAAAGTAGATTGATTTCAGTAATTCCATTTAAAAAGTGAAACTTGTATATTATATTCATACATTACATACAAACTCATATATTTCAGATGTTTATTTTGTTTAATTTTGATGATTACAAATGACAACAAATGAAAATCTCAAATTCATCATATCAGAAAATTAGAATATTACTGAAGACCAATAAAAACAAAGGATTTATAGAAATGTTGGCCAACTGAAAAGTATGAACATGAAAAGTATGAGCATGTACAGCACTCAGTATTTAGTTGGGCCTCCTTTGGCCTGTATTACTGCAGCAATGCGGCGTGGCATGGAGTCGATCAGTCTGTGGCACTGCTCAGGTGTTATGATAGCCCAGGTTGCTCTAATAGTGGCTTTTAGCTCTTCTGAATTGTTGGGTCTGGTGTATTGCATCTTCTTCTTCACAATACCCCATAGATTTTCTATGGGGTTAAGGTCAGGAGAGTTTGCTGGCCAATTAAGAACAGGGATACCATGGTCCTTCAACCAGGTACTGGTAGCTTTGGCACTGTGTGCAGGTGCCAAGTCCTGTTGGAAAATGAAATCTGCATCTCCAAAAAGTTGGTCAGCTGCAGGAAGCATGAAGTGCTCTAAAACTTCCTGGTATGTGGCTGCGTTGACCCTGGACCTCAGAAAACACAATGGACCAACACCAGCAGATGACATGGCACCCCAAACCATCACTGACTGTGGAAACTTTACACTGGACTTCAAGCAACGTGGATGAAGTGCCTCTCTTCTTTTCCTCCAGACTCTGGGACCTTGATTTCCAAAGGAAATGCAAAATTTACTTTCATCAGAGAACATGACTTTGGACCACTCACCAGCAGTCCAGTTCTGTTTCTCTTTAGCCCAGGCAAGACGCTTCTGACGCTGTCTGTGGTTCAAGAGTGGCTTGACACAAGGAATGCGACAGCAGAAACCCATGTCTTTCATACCTCTGTGTGTGGTGGTTCTTGAAGCACTCACTCCAGCTGCAGTCCACTCTTTTTGAATCTCCCCCACATTTTTGAATGGGTTTTGTTTCACAATCCTCTCCAGGGTGCGGTTATCTCTCTTGCTTGTACACTTTTTTCGACCACATCTTTTCCTTCCCTTCGCCTCTCTATTAATGTGCTTGGACACTGAGCTCTGTGAACAGCCAGCCTCTTTAGCGATGACCTTTTGTGTCTTGCCCTCCTTGTGCAAGGTGTCGATGGTCGTCTTTTGGACAACTGTCAAGTCAGCAGTCTTCCCCATGATTGTGTAGCCTATAGAACTAGACTGAAAGACCATTTAAAGGCTTTTGCAGGTGGTTTGAGTTAATTAGCTGATTAGAGTGTGGCACCAGGGGCCATCAATTTTGAACCTTTTCACAATATTCTAATTTTCTGATATGATGAATTTGAGATTTTCATTTGTTGTCATTTGTAATCATCAAAATTAAACAAAATAAACATCTGAAATATATGAGTTTGTATGTAATGTATGAATATAATATACAAGTTTCACTTTTTAAATGGAATTACTGAAATCAATCTACTTTTTCATGATATTCTAATTTTATGACCAGCACCTGTAAATGACAGCACAGACAAAAAGCATACAATCATCAAAAAATATTGGTGTTTCTAGGAGCAACATTTTGCAAACAGAGGTACATTTTCATTAAAAACTAACTTTTGAAATAACTAATTCTAAAAAAAGAAGGAACACTTTGGTAAAAATAAACAGTATATGTTAGTAGGACTGATACCCTGGTAGCATAGGCGTCAGATGGATGGTATTTCTTTGGTGTAATTAGCAGAAGCATCCTGTCCCACATCTGGACCCCGCTTAGAGAGGTGATACCCATGTACAGGAATATACCAAACAAAGCTGTCATTGGAATCATCTTCAGGATTGGTTCCATAAAAATTGAAACTCCTAAACATTAAGAAAAAAGTATGGTTATTAGCGGGAAAAAAATAATTGCTTGTTAATGCATCAGCACTGTAGATGGCAGCACCTACCAACCATGATGGCCACGCATATACCACTGATCCTCTGCTCAATCACCTTCTCAATCACCGGTTTTGGCCCCTTAGACATGACAGTTAGAGCGTTGGCATGGGTGACGGATCGAACGGTGGCAGCACTCAGCCAGGGGACTCCAAAGATGGAAGAAATTCCACCCATGGTGACCAGAAGGAGCAGGTCGAAATGAAAACCAGAGCCTTTTACCATTTTCCTTTCAGGTTTGCTTACAATTAGCCTGCGCTCAACAGAGAACACAAAGATCCTTTAAATAGCTTGTTAGCTTGATGATATCATGTACACAACTTTACTCACGTAGTAATCTGGGACTCCATGAAGATGAGGATAAAGACAAGAAGAGCAGGTACACAGCAGGCACCCATCATCCAAATAGGGAAGGGCTGTTTTTCCCCCATTGGGTTAATAAACCAGCCTCTGGCTTTGGGGTTGGTCACTTCAACACCTTTTGGCACAACCAGTTTCTACAAGAGGTCACAAAAATTGGATGATACATGAAAAAAAGATGATAATTTCCATTTTTTGAAACAAAAAAATCAGTATGTTTTAGATTCAAACATCATTAAAAATAAATTAGGCTTTCTAACCAAAGCTTGATGCAGAAATATGTCAAGTTGTTGTTATTTTTTCTCATAAGCCCAGACATGGTATCTGAATTTAGCTATTGGAGAAACAGACCCTGAGGGAAACTCAGACATTCTCCTCACAGAAAAACTCCCCAGCCTTTTCCCAAAGGGTTTTAGCACAGAAACAAAAAACAGTCTGGAAAAAAAACCCTTTAAGACTTTTTATTTGAATTGCTATTTGTAACTCACCTGCGTATAAGCATCCGCAATGCTAATATCCACTGCAATCATGAAGAAGATGGCAATAGGGACCCCAAAATCTCCAATCAAGCGACGAATCTGGAGGGAAAATGAAATGATTAATCCCTAACAAACTCGGATCAATTGATAGAGGTGATTTACTTGAGTGTTGTTTGGAACTTGATCTTACCGGACCAGGGAAGTAGGTTCCATTTTTGAACTGACGAAGGAAGTATGCAATGGAGAAGCATCCAAACATCAGGCACATAGACAACAGGGCAGTGTTGGGGTACGGCCTTTCCGTCTCCTTCTCTATAATGGTCACATTGCCATCTGCATGAATCTCTATGTGTGTGTGGATGACTGGGTGGAAGGGGTTTTCCAGTGTGTCGTTAACATGTTCATAGTTCAGGATCAAAGGATGGGTCTGAAAGATCTAAACAAGAAACAGGTTTCAGGTCCAGTTAGATAAAACAAAAATAATTATCAGTGTGAGACGGATAAGGGAATTAATTGTTTGAACCTTTATGAGTTTGGCAAACGTCTCATAGATGAAGATGAGTGAAATGAGGATGGAGAAGATTTCTTGGGTGAAGCGTGAAATGAATCGGACCAAGAAGCTCCCTTCGACTGCAACAACTACAACCACGATCACTATCAGCCACATGCCCACCCAAATACGACCCACAATGTACTCCATGTCCTGAGATTTGCAGAACTGGTGGAGAAAAAAAAGGTGACTGATTTTAGAGAGGGATGTAGCTCTTTGAAAACTTTTCTTTCTGAAATCTTATCAGCTAGTTATTCTTACGGCATAAAAAGCTTCCTCAAACAGCAGCAGGGGTCCAGAAAATCCAATGACGAGGACAGGTTGGGCAGCAATGAAGCAGAAGATAACACCCTGGATGCTGGTGGAGACCATAAGCTCTGAGACACCCATCATTTTTTCAGTTTTGTCCGCTAGATTGGATTTAGAGCCAGAGAGAGAATTTCTTAACTACTTGTATGGTCATTAAACTCATCATGATATATATCTTTGTGGTCGGGAGTTTTTCTATTTACCAAGAAGCCCCCCAAAAGTGATGGCAGGTGATAAGGCTGCGAAGTAGATGAAGATGATGGCAGCGAGGACCTGAGGGTTCAGAGCATCTGTGTAGTCGCTAAGGTAGTGGCGGTATCGGCGCTTGATGTCCCTCACCATTCCACCAAATGGATAGCCTGTACGGGCCAGAGGGTCCTCCTTTGGCCCTTCAGGAATCATTTGTAAAGCTAAACAAAGAAAGATATCCAATCCATCACATCATTTTCTATTTTATTCTATGACATTCCTTGCATTTCTATGCTTAGTTTTACCTGAGGGAATTTCTGAAATAGTTATTTTCTACAGTTTAACCCAATTTGGTGCAAATGTATCAAGGATTCTTACCTGCTGCCCTTTCTCCAAAGGCAAGGCGGGTGTCAGTAGGCCGGAGTCTTTCCCGCAGGATCTTCCTCTGGAAGTCAATCATTGGCTCCAGCATGGTCTTGTCTTGGATTTCAGTCGGAGGGATCACGATGCTGCAGTCCATGAAGTCAGCAATAGCATCAGTCAGATCTTTCTCAGTTTGGGCGAGGTGAGCTTCCAGACTGAACACCTAGACGAGAAGTATCTTTAATCTACCTGCATTAAACAGTTTTATTTGATGAGTATGATCTACAGAAAGTGATGTCTGTCCTTCCCTACACTAATCTCATACCCAGTCCGCCATCAGAGCACCCATGGCACGCCCAGTTTGAGTGTAGTTCATGTCACTGATGGTAGGGCCGACCATCATGAACACAAAACGAATGGGGACTGAAGACTCCAGGACAGATTCCATCACCACAGTGTCAGTAAGCCTGACAAAAGCCACCACTGGCTTCTGCAGGAGGTCCAGAACACCTGCAAGGAATTCCCTTAAACTAGATCTGGACCAAAAACATGCTTACTACATGTAGGAAGTAGCATCTGAAGAAACATACCAGTGAGGACAACTGAGGCCTCCATGTTGTCAGAGCTGTCTCTCTGCAAAAAATATTGTAGATTTAAGTATAGTAAATATTTTGATGTCATACAAAAATAGAGTTTAAATAGTTAAAGGCATTACCTTCTTTACAACAGAAAAAGTTTGCATTTGAATATCTCCAGCTGGAGTAATCACAGGTCCATCATTTTGACTGCCAGGACCAATAGAAGCACAGGTTTAGAAAGGCGTTGAGATTTTGTGTCGTAGCAGAAGAAACAGAAACATCCCCTCTGTGGGTTACCTGCGTCTCATAAGGAGAGCTCTCAGCAGGGCGTCTCGATCGCTGGAGCGTATCTCATTCTTGCTCACCAGCTCGTCCACTATTTTCTCAGCCACAGAGGACAGACTGCTGGCATTCATGTCAAAGATGATGGCTCCTGAGGACCAAGGCTTAAGGTCACTAAAGCTTTGAATAGTTCACCCTGTCCAGTTTAAAGAAAAATGTGGATGTTCTAAAATTACCTGTGCGCATCAACCTCCGGACTTGAAGGAGGCTCCTAAAGCTGAGGTAGGACACATGGGAAGGACCCCACTGTTGTGTAGCAGGATCAAGGTTCTCTTCATAGCCTACCCATCGGCTGGTCTCCTGCCAGATGTTGCCCTGGAGTTCATTTAACTCAACATATGCCTGTTGACATAAGTGAACACCATACCATGAACGGTGTTTACTTCTTGTTTTGATGTAGAACTGGATTTTTAATCAGGTTTGATGAAATTAAGAATATAGGTCTGTTGAGATTAAAAACCCTCGCTTTGTCTTTTTAAAAGCTTGAGACAGATTTGCTTTTTTAGCATGATAATGATCTTAAACAAGCATCTAAATCAGTAAAATAATGTCCTCACAAAACAATTACTTGTAAGCACAGAGTTTAGAAATAAGTTTGATCTTTGGCACCATCTGGAGAGTTCTGTGGATAAAAGATGGCTTGATAATCTTAAATATTAGAATTTCAAGATTGCAGAATAAAAAAAATAACACTCATGGCTGATAACTGAATCAAGCCAGTTCATGTGCACATTTGTTGACAATTTTTTTTATCAGGATGAATGTTTTACTGTATGTGGAAAAAATGTTTTACTCCATAAAAATCAACCACATTGCAGGGATTAGTGCACTTTTGAACAGCACATTACATCAATTATATTAATTCAGAAGCTTCCACCAACCTGAGCATCCCCTCTCGTGGTGGCATTGGTGTTGACATTCAGAAAAGCTGAAATTAGGAGGTAGACATTGGGTTGTTTTCTTTTTTTGGTTCTTAAAAGGATTATTCATTAAAATCTGTGTAAACATTTTACCATCTGAATCACTGGGAATGACAATGGCTTCAGGAGGAGCCTCAGTTTCTTCCTCCTTTTCCGCAGCATTACTTTCGACATCAAGGGTGTCACTCTGGCCCTGGGAAGTCCTAATGGGTATTGAAGCACAAGAACATTAACCATCCTTCTACTTTATACTAATAGGTTTTAGATAACATAACATGTTACTGGTGTTATTTTTTTATTTTTTGAGATATCCTGTTATTTTACCTACTGAAATGGCTGCAATTATTTTTCCTAAAACTAGAAATGGTTAAAACATATGTCTATATATGCCAAAATAAATTGTGGAATTGGTGCTATGCTTTGCATCACCACAAGAGGGCAGCCTAGATGCTCCCTCAGCTGCCTCCTTCTTATCTCCGATTGGCCCAGGGCAACATCTAGTGTAAGTTCAAATGTAAGGGGATGTTTTTTGCAGCGGAATTTAAAACATCCGATTTAGAAAAGCTCGATCCTTTAAAAATCTTATCAACCAAAGAAAAAAAACAAAAACATAATTAAATAAGACAAGCTGGAAATAATTTCTCATAACGTTTCATAGGATTTGATATTCAAAGTCTTTAAATTTCATTTTTTTTTTAATTAAATTCAATTACATTTATATAAAAATACTCTAGTATTTTATTATTTTCTATTAAATTTGCTTTGCTCTATCAGCTTTCATGTAAAAACAGTCCAACATAATTTGTGTTTACTTCAATAAAGCAGTTCGGAATAAATCAAAACATGATAAAAAAAATTTAAACAATGAATTTCAGCAGCAGAAATGTGTCACACACTGCAAACATTTAAAAACTGGGGCTTGGGCACGAATGATAGAGTTCCCTGTATCTTATCAGGAACAGTGAGCAGATGTTCACTCTTGGGGCGCAGTGTTAAAGAGGGAGCCTTGAAGAAGATGAAGCACTTACAGTTTTACTGGAGAAGGGAAGGCCAAGTCATTGTCTTCATATGACATGTCACTGCCCTAAATAAGAGGGAAGTTAAAAAAAAAAATCAATTACCCTGACAGGGAGCATATAAATTAGGTTTAAAAAAAGTACAAGTTTTTCTTTGTTGGTAAAGCGAATAGAAAGACCAACCTCCTCAAAAGTGAAGTTGTTCTCCATGGATCTTGACTTGCCTCCACTTTTAGCTACTTAATGCATTCCCTAAAGCAAAAAGCACATCCATGACTTACAGTACTGTACAGGTTATCTCAGATCTGCTAAACTTGCTGGGTGATTAAAAAAAATATACTGAAAAGGTCACAGGTTACCCCAAATGTACAAACTTTTGCAACATTTATGTCATCAGGTCCAATTTTCTGCAGCCATTGTTTCTCAGCCCTTTCTGTAGATATACGCTTATTTAGGATAAACACCAGTTCTGATAAAAAATATCACAATAATCTGCCCTCAGAGCATACAGTCAGAGTCTGTTTGTAAAATGCTACCCTGGTCTGATAATAAACTGTCCGTTAGAAATTTGAAGCATGATATAGTTTAAATAGACTTTAGAGGCTTATCTTTGGGGTTACACCCTTCAACCAGTCTCATATGTTCTCCACAGGCTGAGAGAATGAAAATGACCAATTTTAGATTCTACAGCTGCTCAGCATAAAGTTACACACAGGGTTGAACATAATCTCTTTTGTTTTTTGTGTAGTTTTATTTTTTTGGCATATTAACCAAAACATGACCCCATTTTGTTAAAAACTTATAATTGTACTTCCACCAAAAAGAGTCTAACTTTAACATTTTTTTTTTAAAACCAACAGATAAATATGAACCTTGAGGACAAAATTATCTTTTTCCTGAACATTGACGACATTTCAAAACAACAAATCTTCAGGTATCTGAACGGTTTGTAGATAATGATGTTCTATTTTAGAAATCAGTAAAAAAAATCCAGTTATACATAGAGCAAAACGCTTTATTAAAAAATATATTAAATGATTGAATTAGCTCAATTTAGCAAGAAATAATTGGAACTTGGAGTTCCTGGATTGTAACTTTATTCTACATCAAGACATATTCTCCATCAAGTTCTGCATTAAGCATATCTAAATCCCAAGCCAGAGGTGGCCACACCCCTACCTGAATGCAGGTAATCCAACCTGGTCTCCGACACTGGAAACAAGATCAATGCCCTGTCTGCCTCAACGAGCCCGGCGACAAACTGAGCCCAGAAAGACGAAAAGACAAGTTCTCTGAAAGACCCAAAGTAAGTGGGAACACCCACCTGAAAGTACGTCGGCGCTAAAGTGCAGTACCCTACAACCCCTGTGGTTCCTCAGCAGGGTGTACATATGACACACAAACATCTCTATCTTCACTGGACACCTTGAGACGGGGATATCCCAGCCCTAATTTGGCTGCACCGCCCTTTCAGAAGGACCCAATTCTAAGGACAAACAGACTGAACCTCTAAGGGGCCCACATGGGCTAAAGAGGGTCAAGAAAGGGCCAAAATGTGGTACCATTAGGAGAACATCTATTAACGTCATCTTGTTTACAAACTGGGGATTCCCTTCTGATGTACATAAGAGATAGCATGGGGTAGTTCCATGTGGTGTGATACGAAAACATAAAATCAAAAAAATATACGCTTGTTTGTTGGAGTGCATGTAGATGTGGAGCATCGAGACGAGACCTCCTCTACTGGCTGAAGGTGTAGCTGCTTTTGCTGACACATGATGCTAGACAGACTGGAGAAAAAGAGAAAAATGCATTTTCAGGTAATTCAAAGTGCAGCTCAAAAATAAAAAAAAAATTCCGCAGTGGCAATCCTGACAAAGTATATAATATAGCATGCAAAGTCATGCCATCAACGCTGTTTTAATTATATCAAAACTAAATAAAATAATTTCTTCCCCTTTCTTGACAGAATAAGTTATATTTAATACACAAACCAGTAATATGTCCGAACAAATCTTATAGTCTGAGAGGTACATAAAGGACAAAAGGGATGCACACACCTTTAAATACAATGAATTGTTGTGCGTTCAATCAGTTTTTATTTTTGTAAAGTAAAGCGAAGACAATCAAACATTTTTTGCGAATAAAAAAAACTCTAAAGTGTGAATAATACTTGTACTTGGCACCTGACTTAAAAACTCTCAGTGCAATTACAGCCGTTTCAGCAGCGTTTTGTGGTATCTCTTTACCAGCTTTTCTCCACTGGATATGGTGTCAATTCTACACTAAATAGAAATTTGCTCAATTTAAGTGAAATTTTGAGTTTGAACAGGAAAAAGCTGCTCTATGTTTAGAGTCGCAGAAATAGAATCAATACAATCAAGAAGCTGCAAGAAATATGATTGGACTGGAAATGACCCTGGTTGCTGAGAAGACCTGAACAAAAGAGACTGCGATCTGAGAGCAAGTGCACGAAACCAGTGAAATAAAGACTTATTTAGTTAAATTTCAGCAAGATCTGGAGAGACAGCTCTAGGTCCAGGAGAAATCCAGTCCCCTCCCTGACAGGGTAGCAGAAATCTCCTAGAAATGCAGAAGTAGCTATGAAAGCTGTTCAGGAGGTTCTACATAAAGAAAGGCAGCAGTGGCTAACAGAGAAGCACTGCCTTCTAGAGACTCTTCCATCAACAAAGGAGGCTCTGAAAGAGATAGAGGAGGAGAGTAAAACATCAACAGAGAGACTGATGGATGAACTGAAACATCTGCAACAGGAGAGGGATAATTTTCAAGAAAAAAAAAAGAAAAAGAAAAGAATCGTAAACGTCTTTAGAAGCTCTAAAAAGGTTCTACCGCACTAAGGAAACTGACCACTGCTGAACCTAAAAAATCCCTTCAACCAAACCATAACACTGAGAAAAATACTTCCTGAACCCAAACTCCAAAACCATAACCTTCAAACCCCCATCCCCTTTGTCAGCTTATCATTCTCATCCAAAACCTTAAACTCTCTACCTTTAACCCTGAACTCTTGCAACACAAAAATGGATATTCTTCAACAATGAGACCATGAAGGTATTGTTTCTCTGCAATGCTTTCTCCAAGAACCTCTTTTGTGTTCGTTCCCAAGATGGGAGATGGGATCTGGGTCTTTGTTTACATTATTAAACTCTCTTTTAGAGAAAGTCTAGGATAATCCCAAATGTTTCATTACAGCAACAGTAAATCTATTGATCCATGTGGCCTTTTTGGTTGTCGCTTCTGCTTAAGAAACAAAGATCACTTTGAGTTGAGAATTTTACCCGTTTCCCACTGAAGGCTGCAAGCAGATGTCAATGATTCAATCCCAAATGTCTACCTCCCCCAACTATTCAAAACAATCTATCAATGAAAAAATACTCCCTCTCTACCAGTGGCTTTTTCTGGGACATATTTCTGCCCTGGTAATAAGTTTTTACCCTGGTAAATAGAGTGAGTCTGCACGGTGGTAAAGTGGTCAGCACTGGTGCCTTGCAGGAAGAGACTTTTCTGCATGTACTTTGCATGTTCTCCTTGTGCTGGCGTGGGTTCTTTTCGGATGCTCCAGCTTCCTCCCACTGTCAGAAAAATATGCTTTTCAGTTTAAATGATCAAATTAAATCCCCCAACACAACTTTTTTTTCCTTTTACCCTTCAAATTTAGATGCATTTATCAAAAATAAAAAAATAAATAAATTCTACAAAAAAAAAAAAAGCTCATTCATAACAATAAGTAATAAAGTCTTTTCCCTCTGGGATTATTAAAGGATTTCTGATTCCGATTCTGATTTTATTTAATCGTTTTAAGTTGAGAATTTAATGCTTTCACATTTTATTCTTTCTAACTCATGGGAAAAAAAAACTGATTTGTTATAAATTTGAGTTAATAAGGAATCAACATAAATACAAAAAACAAATCATGCTATAAATCTGCCATTGTAAAACGGGAGCTCCTCTGAGTAACTCCCCAATGATCATATTTAAAGTTGAGGAACTGGGAAGAAAAAATACTCAACAAAAAATGTAGTTAGACTAACTCCATTTGTTTTACACTGTTTGCATCATTCATGACACCTGAGCTGCTTTGATGAGCTCAGGTGTGTAAAAAAAAACAAAAAAAAACAGCTGATCCCAGGCTGTTCCTCTGCCTGGTTTTGATGTGTACCAACGCTGAAAAGTGAACTCAAACGTATAAGAATAATACACTTTTTGCTTAAAATGGTTTGTTTTATTTTTCATATCTTTTTTTTTTTATTTTACTACCCGAAAAATAGAATATTTTCTTGTACCCCTTGCAATGCATTCGCAGACCACTAGGGTTACGAGTGCCCACTGTTGGGAATTACTGAGCTACACTGTAGCGACTGCTGCTCTGGGCAAGACTGGCAGAAACCAGTCCCAACATAAGGAAAGATGGATGAATGGTATTGCCTCATAACCCATTGGTAGAGACAAACGGAGCAGGGAAGCTTAAACTTGGCAACCCGTCGATTAGAGGACAAACCTCTGCATCCTGTGCACGATCACCCCAAGAATGCATTAACTTCATAGAATGAAATAGAATAAACCACTGGCCAAAAACTCCATTCCTGGAGTGCTGGTTCCCTGCAACTTTTAGAGGCATCCCTGCTTCAAGACACTAGAATCCAATGGCTGACTTACCTCCTCAGTTGAAATCAAGTTCTGTAGAGTCATGCTAATGACTTGATTATTGGACTTGGATGTTTTAAAGCAGAGTCACTTCTAAAGGAACAGGACATGTATTGATCTGTTCATATCCACGTGGTGACATTGTGATGCAGTGGCATGCACATAGCCTGCACCCCACCCCACCTCGATCTTGTGGCCCAATATTTGGAAGATGTGGAATAAGGGCCCATCCTTGGGAGCCAAAATGTGCACTTAAGTACCCTCTTGGAGGCTAAAATGTATGCTAAATTGCCCTCAAGTGCCCCCTCGGGAGCCAAAACACATGCTAAAGTGCCCCCTTGGGATCCAAGAAACATGCTAGCGTGCCCTTAGGGGCCAAAACGTTTACTTAAGTGCTCCTTTGGGCGTCAAAATCCATGTTAAAGTTCCCTCTCAGGAACCAAACCGTGAGCTAAAGTGCCCCCTTGGGAGGACTAAAGCACTATGTCTTAAATTATGAGGTACTTATTATCCTCATACCTTAAATGAGGATAATAAGTATGAAATATTATATATTTACTCAGCGATAAATAAGATTTATATTCAAAACTAGAATGAAGGTTTCCTGTGATGTTACCTAAAATCTTTTTTCACAGCCTAGAAATAAAAAAGAACACCCACACTTATTTTATTATATTTTATTTTTGTCACATTCTGTAATAATATGAAGACTCTATCATTTTTGTTTGGACTTTTACAGTCAAATGTATTTATATATTGATATGTTTTCATAATGGATATTTTAGAAAACACATTGTAGCTACAGGCTTTTTATATGGGTCTAAATTCTACATGAGCAGAAAAACTATTTTAAATCTGGGTTTATTATCTTGGTTAAAATCAAAAAAAAAAAAAAAAAAAAAGAATCAACCAATTTTAAAAATGTTACCCATGCTGAGGAAACACTGCGGGGGCCCAATTTTTTTTTAGACTGTATGGTAGAAACTTGTTATCACTGCTCATAGAAGCTATCTGCGGTGGCCATGTGGTTTAACTCATAGTGTACAGACACTCCCAGTTTCCACAAAGATACTAATAAATGCACGTCTTTATGTTTTACTTAAAAAGTCAGTTTTGATGGTAGTCATTTAAGCTTTACATCTTTAAAAAAAAGCTGAAAAATAAAGTTGAGAAAGACACAATAAGTGAAATCAAAGGTTAGAACTTGACCCTGTGCAAAACTTTACAAATTTCCTGGAGTTGCATCCATCTTGATTTCAGCAAAAGCAAAATTTAACCTTAGTAGTGGTCCATCATATGTTTTATTTATTTTTTTTTTTTTTATGTTCATACTTTTATTGTACAAGACACACAGCTCTACCATCTATCATCTCCTCCACAAGAGGACTGGTGTGAATTATCATTGAGAGCCAGAGTTGAAGACCCACCTACTCACAGTGCAAAACTAATGTCTTTCACCAAAGAATGAGCAAAGCCTTGGCTGTTATCATTCATGTTAATTATATACAGGTGCTGGTCATAAAATTAGAATATCATGAAAAAGTAGATTGATTTCAGTAATTCCATTTAAAAAGTGAAACTTGTATATTATATTCATACATTACATACAAACTCATATATTTCAGATGTTTATTTTGTTTAATTTTGATGATT